GAAAGGAGTCGCCAGCTGGAAGCCCACCTTGGCCACAGTCTTCAGCGGCTGCTTAGAGAAAACCGGTGCCATGGCTGAATGATTCAATGTATTCCAGTGTTTGGCGTCTGGAAGCAGGGGGTGCACGAGTATGAGAGTAGGGAGAGAAGGAACACGGCTCTAGAAAGAAAAGATGGGACATGGTTGATTAAACGTGGCAGTGGATGCCGCGATCTGCCACATCTGCAGCAGTTCGAGTCCAATATTGCCATGTGAGGGACTGCATCCAGTCAGTGCCCGCTTGTTCCAGATGGTAGGATTAAGTGGCTCCCATATTGGAATAAGAGGGCCGTTGACAATGCATGCAGATGGATGGTATAACCGGGGGTTAGAGATATACGTCCATACGCCAGTACCATTTCCTTGCCGAATACAGTATGGACAAGGAAAGCTTTACACACTCTATGATACTAGCCGCAATGAATTGTACAGCCTTGTATTTTCAGCTCCAGATCGGCCGGCTATCAAGTTGGTATGGGCGGCAAGAGCGCCTACTGGAGGACGTTTTCATTAGGGTCATTGACTTCTCGCAATGCCCTTGCAAGAACTATCTAGACAAGCGAAAGCCACTCCCTGCTAGTTGATCCTTCCATGATGATCTAGGGTTGGCTTGTCTGTAGGAAGAGGATGCGGCAATGCCCGTTTCGGCGTCCTGACCGTTGAGGGTGGAGAGCCTCATTAGACAGGGATCGCGAGTCAGGGGAGAACGCCATCCATCAGCGGGATTGACTCGCAGGGACCCGTCCCCTGCTTTAAGCTTGGACAAATCTGTACTAGACTCTCGTTGCAAGAGAAAAGAGGACTCAAGGTCCTCAGTTGAACGAATCCGCGATTCCGCACTCACCTGAGAGCCCGGACGACGGGCATCTTGTCCCTGTTTGACCCGCTGGGGTTTTCCTCATGCCACATAATGGATTGGGCAACGCGTTTGCGATGAAATAACGAGCCCACTCCGTATCGAGAACCAACATGTGGCTCGGAGACTTGGATCCTTGCCCCCCACGCGGTATAATACTCCGATTATTGGTCTCACGCAATGTCTGCCATGATACAAATCACTAGTGAAATTATTAGGGTGTTTGTTCTATAATGAAGAAATAATTGTAGAAGCGCAAGCCGAGACACAGAAACGGCAGACGCAAAGCTTCTCATGACACTTGTATCTCCTTCTGAACGCGTATTTGCTTAGGCGGCAGAGGATCCAGAGGGATGTGGTCCGACTCTGAACCATCGTTCGGGAGCTTGTCCCAGGCTTTACCTGCCGCCGCGTGAAATCGTTCGTTTCCATCCCCCGCCCATGGTCGACCGGTGTTGCTGCGATTGCTGCTGATCTGATATCCGGAGCTTCCCTGTCGATCGCGTAGAGACCCGTACCACGTTCTAGCCTTGGAGCTCAATTTGCTGCTCTTGATAAGGTGACCCAGAGTCGGTAGACATGCGCAAATGATGGCCATGCCCATCTGTATCGTAGACCAGAGGATCGTCTTGGAGGTGTCGACTGTGATGTGCGAGATTAGCAATTGAGGTAGTTAATGTGCCCGGAGGAACTCACAGTTTAAGGCAACATTGGGTGGCCTCCAAATATGTGTTATTCTGACAATGCTCACCACGCAGACGCTGGTTTCCTCTCGTTAGAAGCCATCTCAAACAAAACACGGTGGTGAAACTTTCTGACTTACGCCGCTCCCATCAAGAACATGCCCAGCACCGCCCACTTCTTCCGAGTGTCTAATTGTAGTCGATTCACAAAAAATGCCGGGACGGCTAAAATGATGGCGTCGATGAGCAAGTTGGACACTTCGACTGCCAGCAAGAGCTTCGGTGTCGACAGACAGTGACCGACTTCGAACCACTTCTCCCACAAGGCGCTGATCGGTTTGCATTGGAAAATGATGGTGAAGATAAACCCGATAAACCAGGCAATTGAGAGAGCCAATGTGCCGATGATGACGCGTCGTTGCAGAGCGTCGATGGAAAAGATGGTCCAGTAAAACGACAGAATGCTCACTTTAACCACCGAGACCATGGTCGTGAACAGGATCATTGCAATGTACCCCATCTAGACAGTGAATATAAGCCTCCGGACTGTAAATGCTCTGAAAGGAGCCCTGTTTCTCCATACCTTCATAAAATCGCCGGTCTCTTTGGGGCTGACCTTGGGGTGGTCCGTAGGTGTGAATTGGCCTTCGAATGCACCGACTTCGGAAACGTGGAATATATCTATTACACCAGCATTAGTCGCGGCCATTGCCCAAGACGAAGATTGAAAACTAGCGGAGGTGATCCTCATGCCTCGGGGGGTTGAGATCGTCACTGACAGTTCCATAGCAGAGCACAGTATCCAATGAAGATGGCGTAGGATAGAATGCACAGGTAATCGCAGAGCAACAACCTCTGGCCGCTGTCTAGTCGAGAGTATATTCTAAGAGCCAGGATCAATGTTGCCAAGACGCTCATGACAACGCACCCGACATAGTTCTCGTGGGCCTCGGGCGTGAGATCGATCATGTTGGTGGTGTTGGTGCACCGATGTGCGTGGGGTTATGCTAGAAGATCCCACCAAACTCTAGATTGAAAGGAAAACAAAAACGAGGGAAGTGAATGTCCACGTTTCTAAAGGTCAAGAAGAAATGGCATCGCTAAATTAAGCAAACGCCAGAAAGATCGAACCAATGCTGTAAGAAATTCCGGCGCTCTGGCTCATCGTCGGGTCCTGGCGAATTATCAACAAGGAGACAAGTGGGAAACGCCTTCTTGAACCAGCAGATTTAAATCATGAGCTAGGACCACCGCGTAAAACGGACTGGGGGATAGAGGGACAACCCAACAATCCTGCAAGGTTATGTAGTTGCGACGCTGGCTTAGACGAAACAGTCCCACCTGCTCGTCTTTTTATTACTATGTACGCTGGGATACATGCCGGATCGCGGATGTACTGTGAAATGCCGGACCTTCCCAGGACTGACTCTGGCCACACTCCTGGACTTGCTGCTCCGTACTGAAGGGCCACTGCCATCTTAGGTGCATATTCCAGCTCAAGGGTGTCCTGTCCAGGTCTCAAGGAAGGATTCGTCCCTGACCCCTAGTCTAGTTCGCTTCGGGACTGGCCCCAGCATCTTGTGGTACGACTGAACAGGGAAGGATGGTCCGTACAAGTGATCCATCGAGGACTAACCCATCTGAGAAATCCGAGTTCAGCCCTGTCTCCTTTGGAGATACCACGGGAATGTCCGCCCATATGGTAAGAATTTAGTCATCCAAGCTTGTTCAGTAGTAGCGTGCAGAATCTATAGATACTTGGCTCTTCGTCTAGTTATGTTGAGGCTGGAAATAGAGGCCATCAAGCTCTACTCTATGCGACCATGTCCGTTGAATTATAGCGAAGGCATACATGGACTCTTGGAGATTCATTTCACTTATTTTCCGGTTTATTTTTTTCCAAGAAAAAAAAATATTTTAATAAAAGGGGCTGTGGGCTGCAACGGTTTTACGGAACTGAAGAGTGGGCTCAAGACTCGTCTGTGGAGAATTAACAAGTTCCGCCTCATGATAAATTGCCTAATTATATCACAACCGTCCTCCACTACGGGCAGTTTTTTCTTCCACGTCCCACACCAAAGCCTCGGGTTGCTCATACATGGCGAAGTGTCCACCTGCTGGCTGCCCTTTCAAGACAACTACCGGGCCAGTTCTCTGATCCATGAATTACGCGAGATCTTGTGGGAACACACTGACATTGAGCAACATCCTTGGGACATGCTGCTGGGCTATCTTTCGAAACGCATCTTATTCATTAGGAGCTCGGTTAAGGGCTAGCCTTAGAGAATAAATGGACGTATATCCATATAGCCACCTCATTAACCTCCCGCGCGGGTCAGTTCAGTCACAACTTCGTTTAGATCCACACAACAGCGCCACGGGGGCGCCGTACAGGGCGAATCCTGGTGTTATTTGTTTGGTTCCATGTGGGCACGTGTAGGTCTCAATTTCTATGCGAAACCATTGTGTCCTGCAAGAGTTTAGCTTCTGATGTTGGTGATGCTGATGATACTGAAAAAAAAAGTGAAAGGCTGCCATAACTCCAGTTCTATTAAACGTGACAGAACTGGTGACTTCCAAGAAGCATGTAGGCTCTGTCGAACACACTGCATTAGGACCCCTAATAATCATGATGGATGATATGTTGCTCTACATATCCATAGAAAAAATGGTTTTCTTCCAAGTCGACTGCTCTATGGTGTATAAAATGAATACTAAAGTTCGTAAATATCTTGATTGAGATATAGCTCGTGAAATGGAGAAGCTAGACAATTTCGGAGTTTGTAGCCGCCAGCCAAACCTGTTTTATCGGCGGTAGACAAGGCGCCCCTCAAAATGTCATGGAAAGGAGCTCCATACTACCAATCATATCATACATTAACGTCCCCGAAATATAGCACTGATCCGCATGTTTAACCCTTTCCATACTTGCAAGGGTAGTATCGTTAAGAGGATACTTTATTGTCTGGGTGATTTGGGTAATGCCGTATAAGAGGAAAAGGGGGTGTTAATATACAACCGAACTCACCAGCTACATATCGCCAATAACACTATTGCCTTTCAATCTCGTCTCAGGATATTAGCAAATGACTTTGATTTACTGGGAAGAGAATGGGACCTGTCTAGATTGTCAAGATCTCATCTATCTTGGCTGTTTAGTAGTTGTGATTTTTCTTGTTTATGATGATAACGAGGCAAGTAGATCAGTATGCCATTATATAGGTAAGCAAAGAACACTATTACTAACCAATGATGAGAAATATCGATCAATACATGTTCCAAAGTCTTGGAAATGCCACAAGAAAGCAAATTTTACAATCTAGTCTAGCTATTAGTTGTTTCAGAGAAATCTCAGCTGAGCCTTTCTCCCATAATTAACCCTAAGGTTTTCTTGAGGATGCCCTCGAGGTAGATTCTCCCACCTACGTTTTCTTGCTGGTAGCTGCTGCGGCCCTTCCAGCCTTCCTTCCGAAGACAGCTCCGGATGTCAGTCCGCTGCCACCAGGGTAGTTGGAATAAAACAGCCCACCCATCATCTCGCCCACGCAGAACAGACCCGGCATGGGCTTGCCGGTTGATGCACTGATCAATCCTGCAGTCTCAGGGTCAACCTTCAACCCGCCAAAGGTAAAGGTGATGCCACAAGTGACCTTAACGGCGACGAAAGGTCCCTGGTCCACAGGCAGGGCCCAGTTCGACTTTGCCAACGCCAGCTGCTTCTTGGACGATTGGGTGGACAGACCGTCCTTGACCGCGGGATCCCACTTCATATTTGGATTCTCTCGACGGTGGGTATACACAGCCTCGTTGTATTCTCTGAGGTTTCTGAGGAATGATTCCTGGTCTCGGAGGCCCCGGGAGCCGCACTTGATCGCGAGTTCTTCCAGCGTAGATGCGGTGATGCGCTCTACGCGCTCCTCGCGGTATTCCTCTGACCGGAGCCATGGGCTCGTTTGAGCATCCCAGACTTGGAAGGCAATATGCTCGGGCTGCTGTAAGATAGCACGGCCGAACTTGGCATATGTATAGTTCCTCATGTCGATCCCCTCGTCGACAAATCGCTGGCCGTCGATGTTGAACATGAGACCAAGCGGGTATCCAGACTTGGTGTACTCGTTAGATGCAACCCGGTCTCCAGTATCAGGGTCAGCATTTGCATCCCACGCAACGGAATGGCATCCGGACCAATTTCCCACGGCCTTTGCATCGAGCTCGCCGACGGCATAGTTCAGACAATCTCCGGTATTGTAGGGCGTGCCGCGAACCATGGCCATGTCCCAACCGGGTCCCAGGAACTGGCTGCGCATCTGAGCGTTAGACTCGAAGCCTCCGGCAGCAAATATGATAGCCCCGACGGACAATTCCTGTGGTACGCCGTCTACTTGGAGAGTGACGGTGAATGAGCCGTCGCCGTTGCGCTTGATGTCGCTCAGCAATGTTGACCAAGACACCTGGACATTGTGTCGCTCTGCCGCGGCTCGGTGGTCGGCAATAAGACCTTTCCCGCCGTCCTGAGTCTTGAGAGAAAGGCCGCCCCAGAACTTGATCTTCCCGTCAACTTCATAAGCCTGGCGATTGAACGACAGCTGGAACCGGATGCCATTGCCATGGAGCCACTTGACGGTCTTATTGGACTCGGAGATGAGCTTCTTAGCCAGCCCGGGATCCGACCGCCCCATGCAGACCTTGTTTAGATCATCCATGAAGTCCTGCTCGGAGTAGGGGGCAAGCTCGATCTTGCCCGCCTGCTCCTGGGAGACGTTGTTGACGAGGGGGAGCAAGTCCTGCAGCCCTCCGTGCGCGGTACGGTATGCACCGGCGGTGAAATATGTGTTTCCGCCCGCCCACTCCTCGGGCGCTCTGTCGATGAGCAGGACGCTGCTGGCGCCGGATTGAGCGGCGGAGACGGCGGCGCTGAAGCCAGCATTGCCTCCACCGATGACGAGAACGTCCAGCTTGTGAGGGAGAGCAGCCATAGTTCCTGGGAAGTGTATCAACTGATATGAGATCGAAGGGCGAAGATGATTGAAGCAGGCCTCCGTTGTGATCAGCTACACATCAATCATATCAAGCACGATGAGAAGAATTCGAGTAAACAGGGTCTCCTCCATACTTCGCCCCCGCATTTTGGTGTTCCCGTGCTGCACCCCGTCATATCCTGCCGTGGAGACTTTCAGCGTGAAGTGACACGGTATAAAAAGATCAGTTTATTTTGCTATTGAAGTTTCTACCTGATATCTATCATACTGTATTTGACAACATGTATGACCACTTTGTCGACTTCATTGCTGATATTAGGGGGCCTCGCTCTTCCATTCATCAGAAAAACTGTAATCTATGTATCCATCAGGGCTCTTCACCTTGTAGAAGGTGTCACGCTGGTAGGGTGTGAGAGGAATACTATTTGCGAACCTATACGGCAGATCTGGATTGGAGATGAAATGCCGGCCAAACGCAAATCCTACGTCCTCGCCTTGGAGTCGCCTCTCCAGAGCCTCCTCTACTTCAGCAAGAGAGTACCCCCCCGCAAGAATGATGGGACCAGCCTTGTTCCAAACCTTGATGGCGAAATCCAAGCTTTCTCCGCTGCCCGCCTGTTTATCGACATTTCCAGAAACACGGGGCTCAATAAGGTGCAAATAAGCCAGCTTGAGTTTTCTCAACTCTGATATAATGTGCGTAAATTGCGGGATTAGGTCGTCCATGCGCATCCCTTGGAAATCACTGAATGGTGAGAGTCGCACAGCCACTCTGTCAGGACCAATGGCTTTGGAAACGGCTTTTGCAATCTCAAGGCAGAAGCGACTGCGTTTCTCAATAGTCCCTCCCCATTCGTCGGTTCGTTTGTTACAGGTATCTTGGGTGAATTGGTCAATAAGATACCCGTTGGCGCCGTGAATCTCTACGCCATCAAAACCAGCAGAGATTGCGTTTTGGGCAGCCTGAGCGAAGTCACCGATGCACTCCCAGATCTCCTCCGTCGTCATCGCCCGCGGGGTCGGGTGCTGGTCGCTGATGGGGATATTGCTGCTGCTCACCATCTCCAATCCTGCTCGGTCAAGAGCATGCTGGCGAGCAGCACGACCTACATGCCACAGCTGCATGAATATGTAGGACCCCTTTGCATGCACCTCGTCCGTTATTCGCTTCCACTCCTCAACTTGTTGGCTGGTGAAGATGCCGGGGGCATTTTCATCTCTGCCCCGTGACTTAGGGGATATGAAGGTTGCCTCGGAAATGAGTAAAGTGCCTGGAACGGATGCTCTCTGAGAGTAGTAGAGAAGAACTATATTTCGAGGGACCTGGTCGTCATCTGCCCTCAAGCGTGTCATGGGAGCCATGATGACGCGGTGCTTCAGGGCGCAACGGCCGATCTTCATTGGTTCTATTAATTGTGGCATTTGGTCAATGATTGCCGTGTAAGGTTCAAAGTTGAGTAAGATGGAAATCTGATTGATCAATCATGGAGGAATTGGCAGTGTGTATATATGAGTTGGTTACGAATAAAATCGGAGACAGTGCAGACAGTCGGAGTTTGCGGATCAATAGCTAACGAGCATCTTTTTGCAGCGGGTATTCCATACCTTGTGATAGTCTCCAGGAAGGTTCATTTCGTTGAAGGAGGCAGAGTGGGTGAGGGATTAATAAGTCTATTACATATTGGCGTGAGTGAAACTGGAAACTGATCTTCCAGGCATTTCTTGGCTCGGTCGAACGATACTACCCACGATTCAGATTAGTCAATTTATCGATCCTAACGAGAATAACAAGTACAACCTCTTGATCTTTTACCTGTGCACTTTCAAAGGTGTTTGGTTCATAATACTCTCAACGACGGAACTGAAGACGTTGAAGCAACCCACAGTGATCAAATTATCTAGAGCAATAACGAAATATGAAAACCGACTGTTCTCTCTTAAGATGAGCAACTATGTGGCGACGGGCCCATCGCTATCACCTCATCTGTACAACACCTAAGCGGTCCATTTTTTACAGTCTTTTAGGGAGCAAGCTAAAGCGAAGAGTGCAACGCCCATGAAACCTGAAGCAATCTAGACCCCCTTTTTCGAAGACTTTCCCACTAGTGGTGACATGTCTCCCAGCAACCCTTCGACCGCTGCTTACAAATGTCTCGCTTAACACGCAACTCACTACAACAAGTGGCACGAATATTTGCATACAAAAACTTACAAATCAAAGTCACAGAGCATAGCCAAAGCCCCCGGACTCTCGGTCTCGGACTACGGCTTTCGGCCACGATGAATCTATCACCGATATCTAGAGAGGCGGATTGGTGCGATAAATAGACTTGCGCGTCGACATAAGAATCTAGCTTGTGTACACTTCCATCCAGCCTCGAGGTGCCGGTACTGCATTCGTATCCCGGAGGTAAAGGGAAGCATAAACACAAGTATCGACCGTCTCTATTCTACATACATTCTACAATGGCTCTTAAACTCTACGGTCATCCTGTGTCTATGTGCACCCGCCGTGTTCTCCTCGTTCTGGCAGAGAAAGGTATCGACTTTGAGTTCATCTCAGTCGATTTCTTCACCGGAGAACAAAAGGTAACATCAAATAATCCTAGCTGTCTATCGTTCTAACCTTCTTGCTAGCGGGCTCCCTACGATGAAATGATGCCGTTTGGACAGATTCCAGCACTTGAAGATGGCGCGCTTCGCCTCTACGGCAAGTTATCCCAAGACATTGTTACAACCGCTCCGGTATTCTAACATAAGTTGTAGAGTCGCGAGCCATCGCTCGGTACCTTGCTTCAAAGTACCGGGACCAGGGAACCGACCTATTGCCTGCTGTTGATGATGCCCAGGCTTCGGCTTTATTTGAGCAGTTTGCATCAGTAGAATACTCGCAATTCTATGATCCAGCGCTCCAAGTCTTGATCATGAAGCTATTTTATCCGTAAGAGCCCATCCCATCCCCTTCTATTTCTCTCATAGCCCCTTGCTGTTTTCTCCTTCTTCATGTGGTTTTGGTTTTAGAGTGTCGGAGTTATTTTCTAATATCAGAGCTGGGGCTAGGGGCGAACACTCAGATGAGGCTGCGACCAGGGATAGTATCGACCGGCTTCACAACAAGCTAAATGTTCTGGATAAGATCTTATCCACTCAAGACTATTTTGCTGGCCCTCAATTCACTATCGTAGATGCATTCTACATGCCGGTCATAAGTTCCCTTTTTGACGCTGGAGAAGGACCCGCCATAAAGCAACGTGAGAACCTCGCATCTTGGTGGGAAAGGGTTTCTAACCGGGAGTCTTGGAAGAAGATAACCAAAACTGAATCGAAGGCCTAAACTGTTTCCTAGATAACAAGAAAAAGTCAAATGTGGTTTAGGCAGGACATTCCCTCTCTATCTGAAGAGCCCCCCCTGGTTGGTCGTCAGATCACTTAAATGGCACCGCAAGGTTCCATACCCATGCATCTACACAGGCGCAAACTTAATCGGGGGATTCGAATAGAATCTGGCTGCTCCTTTTAATACAAGCTATAATTAAAACGTATCGGCTGATTTATTTCTGGAGTTGTTGTGGCTAGAAAGAGAAAGATCAGGATAAGGTTATGCAGAACCTGTTGGATTCCTCGGCAGCCAACCGCTGGCTCCGGCTAGGCTGTTACGGCGGCTGCCGTGCTTCGTCGTGAAGTCTGTGCCATAAGAGGCTTCTTTTTGCGCAACCCAAGAGATTGATTCGTGCTGCTGTCTCCCTTACGATTGAATGTTCAACGGGAGGACTCTGGATGTTACGTTGACAAGGTTCATGGTGGTAAAATGTACTACAGTTGTTGCGTCCTACCCTTCCGGTATGATGAAGAAACGGCTATAGGCTCTATAAGACTATGGAGACTTATATAGAGAACGTACTTTCACCATCGGTGTTGAATCACCATGGCTCACCATGATCCAGTGACCCATCTAGATCTTAGATAGCTTAGATCAAGGACTCACCTCTTTCATTGGTCTTTAATAGCCTTCCACTGTCTGCTCTATTCACCACATATTCGGCCAGAACAACGGCTTTCTTAAGCTTAGGACAGCTGAAGTTTCCTCTTACCCCAATCTCTGCTTTCTGTAACAGTGCTTTGCTTGTTAGAAATCTAGATAGTATAAGGTGGAGGAGAGCAGAACCTGTGACTAGCACACGAACAACATCCTCCCATACTCCTGCTTACTACCAACGACGTTTTCTGCCTTTGCTATGAGATTGCCGCCACGCGCGACTTCGAGACTTGAGAGCAGAGTTCTGTCACATCATCGCAAGCCTCGAAGAAAGCACCGAACCTCTATTGTATAGTAGGCAGATCTTAATAGTTGTTAGACACAGACACCTCGGCACTGAACACTGTGCGCAATACAGCTTGATATCAACGACATCAATCTCTTCGGACCTCAAAGAGCGCAGAGTCCTCTACCAGGAGTTAAAACCCCTTTTACTCCAGACTCTAAACTTCTCAGGAGCAAAAAAAATGAACAGAATCATTTGACAAGTGTGGGGTTCGAACCCACGCATCTCGCGATAGTGGAAATAAACGCCATAGATTTAGCATCTAGACTCTTAAACCCACCGCCTTAACCACTCGGCCAACTTGCCTAGGTTTGCAAGCGAAAGAAAAATTACACCGTCATAAGATTCTCACACGCTGATTCTCATCTTTCTCTCTTGTTTCTCGCATGATTTTGCTCTCTTTACTAAGTGAGTTCTTCGATAGGTTTAACATAACTTTTAGATGACTGCCAGCAATGGTTTGTCTAATGATCTGCAAAAGTGCTCATGTACCTTGTGTATAAATATCCCCAAGCGTGAGATGACATACAACTAGCTGGTATACGATTCGTAAAAACAAAGCAGTTGGGCCATGTAATAAGAATGAACTTATCAGAAAACGAGAGGTGTTTCATAAACTATAAAGAGCGTTGAGTATGGCATCTCTCTGTACTGTACTAAACATTCTTTCCGCATGTGTTTCATAAAACTACCCCATCACTGATAGTATAGCCCATCCTAAGTGTCTCACTTGATCTTGATCACAAATCGCTGCTTCGGATAGTCCGCATCCTCCTTCGTCTCCAAGCAAACAGACTTGGCTGTCTCCTCACCCCGTTCCTCCAGAGCACTACTAAAATCGGCATACAAGTCTCTCCCCACCACTCCGGGCTCCCATGGTTGGTTTGAAAATCCAAACAGACCAAGACGGACAAAATGGCCTGGCTTGTTGTCAACAGACCTAAGAACAAGGCCAGCAAACTCGATGTGTGGGTTCTCGCATTTCATCTCTTCGGCTTCATCGACATACATGGAGACACGACCAGCCATGATGGGAAGGAGGTATACGGGCTCGCTCTTGGCTGCTTCTTGTTCAATACAATCCAACTTTACTGGAAATGGCTCGAGACTTGACTTCTCGATGGAAATCGAGGGCTTCTTAGTCCCGAGTGGCTCAGGGGAGTCAGAGTCGGCATCAGGGCTCTGTGGGCCACCACGGTCGAGGGTGGCTGGTACAAGAGACTGGCAAGCCAGCGTGATCTCACCGTCCGTGACGGCGCCAAAGGTGTCTGGTCCAAGGAGCTTCGTCCATGATTCCAAGAGTCTTGCTTGTGGCTTTCCGCCCTTCTTGGTGAATTCCTTGACGCTGCATGGTCCATCGATGGAAGCCCAGGTCCAGCTGGGTGCACGCCGCTCCTTCATTTCAGCAGCATCCAGGCTAAACCACAGCAAAGAGGGAACCAAATCCTTCTTCCATAAGCCCGCCAAGTATTCATCTCCAGTAATCTCGTGTTGGCGTGCTGCAATACCAGATAATGCGGGCAGTCGGTCAGATGCATATGTGAGCTTAGCCTCAGAGTACTGGCACATGACGTCCAACCATGGCAGCGGCTCTTCATCCGCAAACATGAGGGTCGGTCCTGGGTGTCCCCCAAAACCGCCGGGGATAAATTCGGATCGGGATGTAGCATGGCACTGCCAAAAGACGCCGTACTCACTGAATTGGACAGTGCGACGCGAAAGAAGCCTCTCCCCCAGAGCCCAAGCACGCTCAGCCAGGGGGGTCTGCAGAATGGATTCAAAAAACACCCCAGCGCTGTGAAAGTTCTGCTTTCTGGTGTACTTGTTGGTGGATACCTGCGCATAGAAGCCACCTTGGTACTTGGGGGACAATGCAGATGCTAAGAATCCTTGAGAGACATCGGTCGCCGAACTTGCTGCAATGGTGACATGCGAGCCTCCGTAAACTGATCTCATTCGACCAGATTCTTTCAGCCAATCCGTTTGATCAGGCTCGTCTTGTATAATGCAGAGGGCATCGATCCAGATGTGCGATAGTCCCAAGCGTCTTGCGACTATAACGGCGTCCTGGAATGTCTGTGGCAGGCGATCAAGCGAAATGCCGGCCACAAGCTCGGCGTATGTATCTCGTGTCAGTTTGAAAAAGGGAGCTTTTCCCCAGCGGTACGTTAGAGTAGCATACTGGGGAAGGCTTTCTAGCGATGCCGTCTCGACCAACTTGACCGGGTCGTTTTGGATGGAGAGAAGCCGGCCTGGCCCATCTTGCGGCTTGCGGCTGCTGCACTCCTTTTCGTGAGCCTCATCGCAGTCGGAGAGCCACGTTTTGACGAGGTCCAAGGACTCAACATCTTCGTCCCAAAGTTTGGCTATGTTACCATCATGTCAGTGCTTCGTCATCTCCAATAAGGAACCCGGAAAATAAAATCTCTAGACTCACCATCTTTGGGAAGAACTTCAGATACGAAATCAGCCAGCTCCTGGTCACAAGCGTAGTTACAGTGTGAGACTTCCTTTCCAGGCAGGTTTACCCAGAGAGCCTGACTCGTCGCGTTCTCTCCAATGCCTTCCCCGACATTCTGAACAGCCAAGGAACACCTGGCAGGTTCGGGCTCCCCATCGAATCTTGCCTCAATCTTGCGGAATTTCTCAAGGAGACCTTCGTGGTGCTGGAGCCTACCCATGATGAAGGCGCAGAACTTGCATCCGGCGCGGGAGAAGGCTTCCAGCTCCTCCGTGCTGAAGTGTCTCAGAACGGCGGAGTCCCATTCCTTTTCATCGAGGGCAGGCCAGTGATTGAACAGATTGCGGCAGCTTGCGCAAAATCCATTTGAAATATCAGCCTTCCTGGTCAGCTGTTGGACGCGGCGTTCAATTGCGTCGACGTCAAGCTCGTCGGATTCGAGAGCAAGGATCAGCTCCGAGCATCTCGCCGTCTCGAAGGCGTCGCTCTCGGCATCGAGGTATTTCCAATGCCACTCTCTCATGGTTGACCGATCTGCCAAGTTCACGATCTTGTTGTGGTGTTTACGAGTTGATGAAGGAGCAGAGTCAGGAAATGAAAACTGAGCGGAGGTGGAGTGAGATTATATTACCTAACTTCTCGTGCAACCTCAGGTTCACCGCCTGCAAGACACAGTCATTTACGCATGAACTGCCGTGGCAATGTGGGCTCAAAGCAACAATACGCCTCTTTTGGTCAAACTATGGCGCAGACCCTGGTGTGAAGTGTGGAAAACTCCATCTCACACTGTCGCGACTTCGCCTCGTACAAGCGCTTATCCCAAGCCAAGGCATACGGAACCCGATACAGGCAGATGCCAAGACAAAGTGCACAAGTTGTGGCCATCTGCATTGACTAAATTATTGCATTTTGCTTTTTCACTCTTTTTTTCTTTTTCGAAAGTACCAGGGCATGAAACCGGTCAGGGGTCTAGTATTCTCTACTAATCAACAATAACAACTATGTCTCCTCTGCCCGCTTCTTCCATAAAATTGCCTTCTCAGGTCCTCAATTTTTTTTGGTGCTTTTCCTTTGTCAAATCATTCCATCAGGAAACCAATCGGGCGCTTATACTCAACGACGTGTCAAAAAAGAGCAGGTGCAAGTAGTGGCTCATTCAAATCTTGTTCGTGAGTAATCAGGCTGTAACTCATAAGGTCAATTTACGAAATTTACCACTCGGAAATAACGATTTTCTACAGGACTAGACTCCCTCCGAAATCATTTCAACCAACCCATCTTTCAAGGCTTGAGGGATAAGAAATTGGTAGACGAGTATGTCACAGATTTCCTAGCTGTCGCAGGGGAACAAGATAATCAACTCTATGTAAGTCTTTGGATTCAATATCTAATCCCCCTTTCGTCGATCTCTTAGCTTAAGATTTGAAATTTTAACGGCGGAATGGTGTCGCTCACCCCAGCATTGTGTAAAGTTCCTGTCGACGGCATAGCTGTAGATCACATGGCAGACTTAGATAGCTATGCTTTCTTAATTAATGACGCTATACAGCTATGCCTCGTGTTTCTATTCGATAAAGGGCCATAACCGCACCCTGTGCGATGGGGCCTGTTTCAGGTATCCAAAATCTCTAAGATTACTAATATTACCGAATCTCGGTCCTCGAGTCATCAGGCAACCGAACCTTTACTCTCAAACTTATTTTCAGCAGAGAGTTTCTTTCATGAAGTAGTCTTCAAATGCTTAGTCAACTGAGAATGAGAACGGGCGGTTCAAGAAGAAGTGGAGATATCAGCGAAGGATGGGATAACTCGAGGATTTATAATGGGTCAGTGGGGTTCTAAATTGGCTTTGAATTGAAGAATTGAATTTTGTCCATCTAAGAGAGACTTGTATTTTCCTCTTATACACCTTGGGTCCAACCAGGTCACAAGTGAACGTTCCCGGCTTGACCACATCCACTCATCCTGACAGCAAACAGCTATATCTAGTCGCCTTGCTGTGCTGAGTCGTCGCCATTGATAACGCGGTTTCATGTTCCATTGCTATTCATACATTAATAAGTAGCATGTACATTATCTCAACAGGGGTAATTTCTGAAGCAGGGTTCTCAGCCCGGAAAGGTGGGCGTCCCGGTATGCGCTACGCCTTCGTGGTCTCATGAGGGTACGTAATCAGTATATTTAGATCGACGCGGCTTCCACTTCCGCTGGCTGCCCGGCTCATCGATACGTAAGCCGGTCCCAGAGCGACTTGTACCAGACGTTGAACTTGTACCCACGCTCTATCCGTGCTGACTCGTCAACCAGGGGCATGCACTGGAACGCGTGAGCAAAGTCGTTGAGGCACTGGCTCCTCGCCTCCATGTGCCCCGAGTTCCTGCTAATGCCCGTGGACGGGTCCAAGTTGACGTACTGGTCCCGCCCCTGAACGAGCAGAGGTCCCGAGCCCGTGAGCAGCGACGCGGCGAAGTTGAGCGCAATGTCCTCGCAGTTGAATTTGTCGTCGACCAGGTTGCGGACCGCGGTCATGGCCGGATCGTCGGAGAAGTAATAGTCGAGCAGTCCGACATGGGCAAAGGCCAGGTTCGACAGGACGATGGAGTAATTGTCGATACTGTGACCCGTGCAAAATGTGTATTCCCACTGCCCATTGTTGTCCGGGATCGCGCACCTTGCCAGAGCGCCCGTCATTCTGTCCTTTCCGAACTTCCGCCAGCTCTGGAAGACGAATTCCAGATCCTCGGCCCGGTAGTAAACGTCATCGTCTGATAAAAGAACAGCCTGGGTGCGGTATTCGGGATCCGGCCAGAGCTTCTCGTTCAGGCTGTCTCGTGGAGGGATACGGTATCGAACCCTGACTCCATGTTCAGAATCGTAAGCGGCGGGTGGTTCATCGCCAAAGTTGTTCCAGATTACGACGACTTCGAGGAGGGAGGGGATATGGTCGGAGAGGAGGATGCCGAGAATACGTTTCAATTCCTTGGGTCGATGGAAGGTGGACACGGCGACTCTAGAAATTTGACGACACAGTGAGCAATGGGGGAGGGATAAAAGAGCAATAGCCGTGGATAACGAACGTAAACTTGTCCTCGATCAAATTGTCATATTTAGACTGGATTGTCCTCCATGTGTCAGTCTTCCTGGTGCATGGAGCAAATGTCTGTTTTGATATATCGGAGGCCTCGGCAGGCCGCGCGTTCGAAGTCGGGCTCCCTGTGCCACATAAAAGGACGGTAATTGTGATAGCAAATAATGCAACAACTAAAAGAATGGTCGTTTTTCGACAGGACCGCAGTCGAAGGTCGCAATGGAGTCTGTTCTGCATCGGATGCGGGTGATCGACGATGAGCTTGGCGTCAAGCTTGGCATGAAGAGAGGAAAAGCGCTGGTTTGGGGGGGACGGTGGTTTTGAATGATTATAGCGATGACGCATGAAACACAAAAGCAAATCTACCAATGCTTTCACATAGTGTAAGCATGTTGAAGTCCTAATCTATTCTTAACACGAAATAATAATGATTTAAGTGGAGGGGGGCGTGCAGCGTCGTGGACAGTGCCTCAATCAATTCCCCGACCAAAAGATCTGCGGCCAACTTGGTTATTTTTGAACCATTCAACATCACCAAAGTTCTACACATTATGCTAGATGTGCGTAATGCTTGATACTCCACGTTTACTCAGAACTGAGAAGCCTCTGCCACAGAGGAGAACTTTCTTGACTGGTATCTTGACTGGAGGTGGGCCCAGGGAGTCTCCCCTTTAGGGACGCGCCGGTGATCATCATCATGGAGCTCTCCCGTTGACATGGATGAGTCGCGTGATATGACAGGGGTTAGCGGGCCAGCTACGTGTACCGGTACCTACCGAGATACCTACAAAGTCCCAGCACAAAAGGAAGATTATGCGTAGAATAAGATGTATAAGCTCTATTACCCTGGGTTATCAAGCTATGCCTCAGTGACACCCATTTTCGCCTTCCACTGTACAGTAATTAACAGAACAATTCCTCCAGCCTTCCTTTGGCAGACCACCTGTTAGCCTGGTCATTCCTGTATCTAAGCTTCGTTGCTCAAGGTTCCTTAGGCAAACCGCAAGCGGGTTTGCCCGCGAATCAGAATCGGACTGGAACTACGTCTGACGATCTGCTTTTCTGTTGTCGCGCTAGTTTTCACAATTATTAGTCATTGTCACCCCTTTGAGACCACGGCGATGGCTTCTTTCCCCGCAAATACCAAGGGTTATGTCGTCAATCCAGCGACCACTGAACCGCGTCCACGCCTCGCTCTACACCTCCGATAACCAGCGCAGATCCAAAATGGGCGTAGACTGCGGCTTCGATGTCTATCCCTCGCTCAGCCCGCAATGCCAAGGCCAATACGAGGCTTTTCTTGAAGAAGTCATCCAGAAATACAAAGACGCACTTCACCCCAATACCGGGGAACCCTTAATCCAGATCATCGGCACACCAGAGACTAAAAACGCTTACGTCTTCTTCAATGTTGGCGAAGGCCCTGTGATACCTTACCGCTCCGAGTACTTTCTGCGCTTCCAGTCTAAGCTCGTCAGCCGCGACAATGTAATGCCATATCTGAGGGAAGTCTACTTCATCGCCCAACGACACTTCCCCGACAATGTCCATTTTTGGGCAACTGGAACGTCACCGGCTTTAATTAGACTATTGGATAAGATACCAGATATAAGAGAAGAGGAAGGAACCGTTCGTGAGGATCATCAATATATATATACGATGTTGCGAGATATGAGACGTCTGGCAGAAGAGGACCAAGAGCGAAGCACACAGGTTGATTTAGAAAAGGAAGCTGCTTAATTCATTGCGAGATCATCGCGTAAATGTATAGGACTATAAACAGGATGTTTTAGGCACATGATTCTCCTAGCCAGCGCCCGTCCCTGGGCTCCTGATAAGGTGATCCGAGGGTTTTGCTACTTCAATCGCTGGAGATTAACTCTCGTCAGTATGCTTGAGCCTTCTTTGTAGCCAGACGTACTTAAAATACAGCAAGAGACGGAAGTAGCATACTACCCGAAGCATTACAGCTCTCTCTACCTTTTCACTTCTCTCCCTTCTATTCTACCTAACTTAAAAACGGAATTATTATGCTTGCTAGTCTTGTGTAAGAATGCATGTTCACTATTGACAGAAATGATGTACTTCGGCCCCCATCTATTGCGGCACTTCAATCAACTTAGCTTCTCATACAAGTTCTATCATAGGCGCATGCCTGATATTATCACTCGCAGTCATGATCCATCCGCACTGCATCTATCCCGACATGCAGAGGTAAGTAAGTATTGCTGGCCCACAAGGAGCCATAAGAGATCATAGATAGCGAGGACAATTTCTTCGTCCGCGTACATAAGTGCACCAAAAGATCTAGATATTTTGAAACAGCTCCCATCGGGGGGCTTCGCCATCTGCTGATCCGTCTCGCCAGTTGGCTATGCATTCACGGGCACGATTATACTAGCTTGCAGACCAACAATTGCCCAAGTACCACGACCTCTAGTAATAAACCATGATTTAAACTCATCCTCGGACAAATCTTTGAATAAAAGAAGTCATTTCAATTAATTATAGTCAGCGCAATGAAAAATACGAACTCAATAACTTGCTGAAGTAAGACGATGCTTTTCGGAACCATTTACATAACAGCTAGGGGTAAATTGTATTCAACCTGACATTACTTCCAGTCATGGCCTATCAGAAGGTATTGTTGGGAAATGGAGAAAACCTTCCAACATGTATCCCGCACTCCGGTTCCTGGAAACTTTTACTGGGGATTTAGCTACGATATGGAGACTTTGCAATAACTCAACTCGTCCTTATCGCTCAGATCTATTACCAATATTGCCCAAGTACATCGTTCGACTCGCGGGAATCCAAATCAACCTCTCCATTCACTTTCATGATCGACTGCTAGTTTAGAGGGTCAGGCAAGACTTACAAGCTCTACTTTTAATCTTTCTTTGCTTCAAGAAGCCCGCTTCCGCATCCTTTCGTCTACAATACTTGGTTCAGACGGCCCATATTTGAACGAACTGGATTTATGCATGTCAACAGAGGGAGGTACAGCCATCATGCCGAAGTGACGCGAGCTTGCTGCTTTGAGTTTCCATCTACCAATATCAACTGCTCTTGTTTGTTCAGTAATTTTCTACAACCGACTTTGGTGTTATCGAGATTTAGTTGAATGATTCCATGATGATGACAAAGTGCATTTGGATGCAGTCGAGGTCCATTTTCCAATACATATATTCATGGACGTTGATTACAAAGAAATGCCCCAGAGTTTCAGCTGAGTCGATAGAACAATTGGAGGAACTTGAATTCGGCCAGTGCAAGCCCCTGGACTTGAGCACATACGCATTGCCAAAAAAGCAAGCTCTTTCTCTCGATCAATGCACGACAAAATCTAGCTGCCAAAATAGAGTACTAAAATAGAGTGAGGAAAGCATACAATCGATCCATGAGACTAGTAGGTGAGGCTAGTAGGTGGAAGTAAGGTAGTCTCAAGTCTCCTGGGTTTGCACATTCACTGGGCAGCAGTTTTGTTCTCAGAAACCGCGCTAGAGAGACATATCAAGAGTCCAGGCTACGTGAGCTCAAAGGAGGATCGACACCATAAGTAAGAGAGAAATTGTATTCAGAAGGAGAGCACGTGGGTACGGTGAGCACATGCGCATACAGCAACAGGAACAATGAAGCCCCTTAGCTCTTGTGTTTTCTGAAATTGGTTCCTAGGATGTAAAATAGCATTTCTACCCACTTCTCGTTAGAGACATAACCAGCTTGGCATACACAAATCCCATTCAATTCATTTAATTACAAATACGCAACTGAGAGGGTTTGGTTGACCCCAGTGTGCCTAACCTAAAGCTGGATCCAGAAAGGCAAGATGTCGCGGCTTGGCGCCACAACTTCAAATCTCTTATCAAACTGAATCGGGATTATGTTCTCTCTCGTATGGCTTGTTGTAATGGTCGTGGTAAATAAAAGGACCAGTAGCTTTGAGTACAAACATATCGCCTTGCTCTATAAAACCCACTTGTTTGAGAGAGCTTATTTGGCTTCCTGGGCTAATGAGTCAACTTCATTGTAATGCATCAAATCAGATACAACCCGCCAAAGGTATTTTTTGAAGTAGCTAGCTCACTAACGCGTTTCTGACCGAGAAGAATATTTACCCAGCAGAGCGCAACGCGGCTGATATGGTGGCAAGTCAGGGTAATCGGCCACAAAGCTAGTCCAGGCCTTCGTGTAAGGTCAGCCCTCGTCGCCACCAACTGTCAGCAAGCCGAGAAGGTGGGAAGTCCTCGACCAACGAATGCTCAATATCGTCCTACGTAAGCACTTCGTTTGAAGCCCCTGGTTTGTTTGAGAGCCAACCAACATAAGCCCAGCTTACACGAAGCTTCTTACACTTATGGAGGGTCTTATTTTCTGATTTACGGTGAGTACTGATCAACATTAGCTACCTAGATTTAGTCGAAATGTTCTCCTCCCTCTTTCATTCTAATCATGAGATGTTGAGATGTTGGAAACGAAAAAAGGCCTCAATATTTTAATGTTTCCTCAAACCTTCTCCATAGTACGCACGCAGGCACGACCTGCAAATCATAGCTCAAGTCGCGGGGAAAGAAATTGGCTATATTAGCTGTGTTATCAAACCCAGAACAAACATTTATGTAATTATGCACAGGTTCTTGCTGGGATTGAACGTGTGCTGGAATCATTCGTTGTCGATCGAGCGGGCTGTTTGGATCCACATATGCAGGTACATCCTCCAAGAGGCAGGCTTTGTTGGCTGAGATGCAATCTTTTTATCCCATTGCGGAAAGGATTTTTCAATCTGGGTCTAGGGGGCCAAGATATTAAGCCATGAAAGCAAGGGGGCAACGCGAAAACAGCGCGGAGGGAAGGGAAATACGGAAAGCAAAGAGAGTACCTTCTGTTCAGCCACTTGCATCACTTAATGGGCCAGAGGTCAAAGGCGGTTAACAAGGCTGACGGTTGACGGCAACAATAAGCGGGCTCAACAAATTTTCCCCATAATGTAGTGCACTCTGTCTCAAGTCTGCCTTTTCCATGCGTCATGTAAAGCGTGCCCAGGCGCCGTTCCTTATCTCTACAGCACTAGCAGATTAGTAACTCTTGGGCCTGCACAGTTTAATTTGCCTCTGAAAGGGACCGGCAAGGATTGCCTTACGGACAAGACCAAGGTCAGACCGAGGAGAGGCGGCTGGGCTGAACCGGTGGTATTTACGTCGTTTCTACCAAAGATAGTAACAATTTTCAGTCTCCTGTGGATTTGGGCCCAACGTAGCAGCTGGCCTAGCTTATGCATGCTATGTCACCATCATCAGCGGCTCGGTTATGCTTGAACACTAGCCAACCAGCTAATTAGCACCTTTTTCTCGAACGTGATTCCCTCAGGAGTGTTAGTTATGTGGAGATGGTGAGCCCTGTGCGTCCAGCCTGCTTCACAAAAATGTGAAACGAATGGGGCGGCGTTGGCTTCATGACCCAAGCCTCCCAATCAGGTCGAGGATGTGGTCAGCCATGGGGTAACATCTGCTTGACCAACCAACTAAGGCTGATCTCGGCGGCGGCTCCCCCTGAATACCTATGCTTTGTGGCGGCTGTTGGTCGCCGTAAGTTGGCTTGGCTAGTTTGCTAGCCTGTGTCAGCGATTCAGCTCCTGAGCAAACGCATGAATCCTGTGTGCCTACTGCTACATCAAGACTGGTCCAAAACATCCCAGCGAGTGTGCTAGTCCCACAAGGCAGAGAGAGTGATTACCCTCACGCTCTTGGCATTGCTCCTTCAAGTGGTGATATTCTTGTGGCGTACGGTGAGCAATTTCCCCTGTCTGCATATCGTTTGATGAATACGATCAGCATCACCCCCAGGCCAGTGGATGGGTATTAAAGGAGGTTCTCCCCCACGCCCCCTACGATGGGTTGATTTCAGATCAGACAGTCAGACCTTCATTCTCTGTTCACTCGAGTAACTCTAAAGACTTTCATTCTTTGCATATTCCCACCAGTCTCTACCTCACTTCCAATCCAACCGCCAAAATGCTCTTCAACAAGATGACCGTCCTGGCCGCCGCCGTCTCTGGCGCCGCCGCTGCTGCCCAGCCTCCCGCTCCCACTGCCGTCCTCGACGAGCGTGACAGCGCCGCCTGCGCCAGTGCTGCCCTCAAGTACGGCCCTGGCCTGCTCGACCTCCCCACCCCCAAGAACACCAACATCCTCACCGTGACCGGCTCCGCCACCAAGTCGTGCGAGATCCCCGCCGTCACCGGCACCCTCGCCTCCGAGTACAGCTCCTACTGGTCCCAGTTCTCCAGCTGGCACAAGGAGCACGTCACCGACATCAGCAACCTCGTCAAGGCCTGCTCCGACGACCTCACCAGCCTCATGTCCGGCGTCACCTTCGACAGCAGCGTCCTCGAGCAGACCTCGTGCTCCAGCCTCAGCTGGCCCTCGCAGACCGGCGGCTCCAGCAGCGACGACAGCAAGAACAGCACCGACAGCAGCAACAACACCAGCAGCAGCAACAACGACAAGGGCAGCGCCGGCTCCCGCCAGACCGTCGCCGTCGTTGGCGCCGCCGCCTTCGCTGGTGTTATTGCCGTTGCCCTCCTCTAAGCGCAGCGCGTGGTTCTTTACCCATGGATTCTTGGATTGCATGAGATTTAAGCGGGAATACTAAACTAAAAATGATACCATAGTCTTAATTCAACTGTTACTCGCATCTGGTGCTCCATTTCCCCGTGATTGTGTCGCCCGTCATCTATGATA